TCAGATTTCAAAGCATTGCTAGCAATCTCAGTTACCTTGCTTGGTTCTTGAACCAGTAAAGCTACTAGTTAACTAGCCTTTATTGTTATGTAAATGTTGGCTGCCAACTCTCAGAGGATCAAGAGAGTTGATTAGTTGGGAGAACTTCTTACCACACTCCCCGATGATTTGAAAGACTGAAAAAATTTTTAATAAATTCCTTCAGCTGTTCTTGAAGTAACTTACTGTATTAGTCTGGGTACTTTGGAGAAACAAATCCACAGCAACTCATGTATAAGAGAGTTTTATGTAAAGAAAATGTGCATCACGAAAACATCCTAACCCAATGCTGCCCAAGCCCACAAGTCCAACATTAACCCATTAACCCAACACCAGTCCACAAAGTCCTCCACCTCACAAAACAGAGGCAATGATGCCGACTGCAGGAAGAAAGCTGAGTCAGTGAATGAACAAGCATCTCAGCACTAGCAGGGGTCTCCACACGGCTGCTCCAGCACTCAGGGCTGCATCGGGATAGATCCATGTAGCTTCTCCTTGGGGATGTCCTGTAGGAAGTCAATCTTGCAAGCTGAAGCAGGGAACTGCTAAGGCAGCTGCACCCGGTGCAACCATCACAAAACAAGAGACCCGAGAACTAGAAACGCGAGTCTCATCACCCATTTTTCCCTCCGCCTTTCAATTAGCCCCACATGTGATTATCAGCCAGGCTGGCACAATTAACTAACTCACTTACCAAACAGACATTTCTTCTCCAAGTTTACCAATAAGGCTTCAGGTTCAATTAAGTATTGCCCATAAGGCTTCTTGCACTGTAGGATTTTATAATCTTGCAATATTCTGCCTTGGTTAACTTCACTCATTCCTTCCATGCTGGATTTAGGGGAAGTTAATGGGCCGGTCTTGGGCCCTCCTGCCGCCACTCTGGTAGTTGGAGATATAGTCCGAGTATATTTTCCCTTAGTGCTAGTATCCCACCCCCTGCCTTTGTCCACCCAGTCAGTACTTTTCATGGTCATTCTTGTGACTGGCAAGCACTCACTGAGCTCTTCTGGGTGTTGGGTGCTTCTCCAGGCATGGAGGCTAGCCTGCAAAGTGCTTGTAGGTTGTAAGTTGTTGAGGACTGGGAGGAGACACCAGGTGGGCCTGGGCCTGGAGGCAGCCCCATGGCAGGTTCCCTCAACTGAAGGGTGTCCTTGTCTTCTGCTCTATGGGAGTGGGGACATTTAGAGCAGGAGCCAACTTTGTGAGATAATTAAAACTCCTAAGAATTTCTTTAGGGATCGGGAGCCCTGCAAAAACAAAAAACAAAAACAGGATTCCCTTATCTTCAGGTTCTTAAGGGAGTAAAGTAATTTTTCTTCCACAAGGTTATTATCAACAGAGATGCAAGTAAAAAATTAACCTTTCCCTAGTTAAGTGTCTGCTTATTCTGATCTGAAAGGGCCCAGGGAGTCCTCCGTTCATTGCGGGGGAGGGGGGTGCAGGTGGTGGGTTCAGAAAGACTCACTTATTTTCGGCTGCAGGTCTAAGGCCTGATGATTCCTGGTGCTGTAAATGTAGCCCCTTTTGGCTGTCTCTTTGCCCCACAGTCCATCTTTTGTTTAAGGCTCTAAGAGAAAATACCTCATGCACTTTTGTTTCTTTAAAAAAAAGTTTTGACATATATCTTACACTTTCATAGTTCATTCATATTAAAACGAGTTGTATAACCACCACTACAATCAGTTCTGGAACATTTTTTTCCCTTCTTGTACTCATTACTAGTGCCCCACTTCCCTCCACCCTTGCCTCCCATAAGCCATTAATGGAGTATCCTGGATTTCATATACTGGAAAACATACCCAAACCAAAAAACAAACAGCAGTAACAAAGGAAACCAGAGAAAAAACCTCAGTCGAGAAAAAAATCAGGAAATATTGAAAACTAGGACAAATTTTTAAAGGGTCAAAAGGGAGATCAAATGATAAAGTATTACATTTTAACCTAACCAAATCTGTCATAATCAATTTACAATACCCTGATAACAAGGCTGTTCACATTCCCTGACTGTGGTCAGAGAGGGTTGCCCATGGAGATATCCTGCTAATGGTTTTTTGCCCCTACTGTCATCCATAGCCTTCTGCAAATCAGTGTTCACATTTTAACCTGTTTTCTCCTTTGGGTTTTCTTTTTTTTTTGATGCTTTGTTGGATTTTATTCTTTGTCGTTGTTGGATCACACTGCTGGTGACCTCGCACACTTTTGCAATGCTGATGTTAGCTGTAGAAACCCAGCAGGAAGAGTCGCACAAAGAGCCAACGTGGTCTTCTAGGCCTTCACTAGCCAGAGTGGGCCAGCCTATTAGAGATGCAGACCCGAGGAATCAATCTGCATTTTAATACGGGCCCAGGTGATTCACGAGGCGGGTTTATGAGGAAGAAACACGGCCTGGCCAGGCTGCACTAACCTTACCAGCCCCCTGGCCCACCCCCTAGGATGCACTTTGTTCTGGTCCATGCCCCAGGCTCATGTGTATGCCGAGGGCAGCTAGAGCTCCTCAGGCCCACGTGCTCCTGGGTACTCACCACTGCCTGGTCATTCACTCTTCTCTTTACTGTACCCTCAGGGACATACCTCATAAGGTAAGGTGGCCAGATTTAAAGCGGGACACCATTGACCGAGGGGTGGTGGTGGGGGTTTCTTGATTAAAAATTTGGTCTATATGGACCAAATAGACCATTCCCTAGCTTGTCGTGCATTCTTTCCAAAAATCGGGACCTTTCTAAAACGCCAAAAATTGGGACTGTCCCGCCAAAAGCAGGACATCTGGTCACCTTACCATAAGGAGATCTCAGTTTAAATAACTGGAATGCAAGGTATACCCATCCATATGCCTGCTCCCATGAGCTAAGTCACCCTGAACGCTAGCTACACCCTTCCTTGCTTGTAATGGTTTCTGGGCGTCAGAAACCTCTGATCCAGGATGTTCTCTTGAACACCGCAGAGAAAGATGAAAGGTGAACTCGTTGCTGTCGTTTCTGAAATAGTATAGTCTACTGGCATGGGTGGAGATTTTTGCCAGTGAACATTAAAAATGACCACCACCTTTGGGAGGTACAGACTGAATGCCCTTGCTAGGCCTACTATGCTTACAACTCCTTTCTAATGTGTTTGTCTGACTTCTTTCTTTCTGGATGGTATTCTGTCTGGGTAGGTGTGTATCAGTCCTGTGCTCCTCTCTGTTGCTGAGTACAGTTTGTGTATGAAGATAACAGAGTTGGTTTATTAATATACTTCTTGATAAAAACTGGACTTGGTTTCCAGTTTGTGGTTATTACAAGTGAAGCAGCCACGAACACCTGTGTGCTAGGCTTGGTCTGCCTTTCTGTGTCCATTGGTAAGTAAATAGGAGTAGGCTGTCAATCACATGACAAAACATGACAACCATCAAGTAGCCTTCGGGCCCCAGCAGCCCCTGGTGCGCCCTGTGGAGCCCCATGTGCTGCCCAGGGCCGCTCTAGCCCAGGCGCCCCCTCACCGTGGGCTTGGGATCCTCACCACGTGCCTCGGTAAGACCAGCCTGGGCACACGAGGCACTTGTAGCCCACCAAGGGATTAGATAGCGAGCCAATAATGCCAGTGAGGCACATGGCACCTTTGTGGGAAAGGGGCCATGCAAATAAGGGGTATGAAACCTGACAAGGGCTTGGTTTCTAGAATGGTTTTCTCCAGTCCTTGCTTCTCAACGCTGAAGGAAATCACGTGGCAGAAGCACTTTCATAACTCTTATGAAGGAAAGGGAAGTTTCGGGTAATACAGTCTCAGGTGGCACACGCAATCTCTGGAAAGCTTGTAAGGCCGCATGGCGGAGGCCGTGGGAGCGAGAGTCTGCCACTGAAAATGGCCATTTCTAGGCATCCACAGAACCAAAAAAGCACTGGAACCGAAAAAGAAAGCCAGGAGTGAGAGAGTGCACGTTCCCCGAGCACTGGAGAAAGCCTGCCCTCTGACCTGTGAGAGAGCTGTTTAAACTTCATGATGCACTAGGTGGAGGGTACAGAGCGGAGCATCTGTTTGACAGTCAACATTTCATACACACTGTTCCCTTGTTCGTTGTAATCCCTTCCATTAACATCCACTTCTCCGTGTCCTTTCTGAGCCCTCTGAACTTGGTCATTGGGCAGACGCTGTGCCACGGATCTGAAGTGTGCGAGCCTCACTAGTGTTGGTATAACCCTTCTTTTAGGTCCATCTCTTCTTTGCCTGGATGTTGACCTCCGTTTTAGAGCAGCAGGGTGATGACAGTCAGTGGTCTTGGGAGGTGGGGTGGGGAGATCCACTCATCTCCGTCTGACCAGTCAGCCTGGTCTCTTAGGATTTTGGAGTTTTGTTCTACACTGACATCTCCGATGGCTGAGTTTTCGAGGTAGAGCACTATCACATCCGTCCTGTGCCTCAGGGGGCTGGGCCCCTGTTCCTTATGGACAGCCAGCCCATCAGGGACACCCTGGCTGAGAATCCCTGGAGGCCCCTCACTTCACAGAATCTCACGGTGGAATGGATCTCAGCCTTTTCTTATCCAACGTCAGGCAGTGCTGAGTTTCCCGGATGAAGGCCCCTCCAGACCTCAATTGTCTTACTGTCCCACTGCCCCCTCAGGTGAGGCTTAGCAAAAGCTTCTCCCCTCGAGGCTGCAGGCCAGAAGGACTCACTTTACTTTCTGGAGCTTCCACTGGCAGCCTCCCTCCCACCCTACTTCCATAGCCCCCTGTCCCATTTCCTGCCAGGCCTGCCTGCAGGAACATAAGCCTGCCCAGTCAGCCGAGCCTCCCTCAGGAAGGAGGCTTTGGGAAGAAAGGAGAGTGGGCAGGTGTGACGCTGGCATCTCAAGTTTGGATGGCCTGGGTGAGACCAGTGGGGACTAGTTTCCCACCTGTGTCCTCCGTCACCTGGGCCCCCTGGCGCCTGACTGTGAGGGGTGAGTCGGCGCCTGCCTAATGCTCTGGGAAACTGTGTTGCAGGCACTGCTGGCAGGCATGCGGAACCGGGAGAACAGCTCGCCCGCCCTGGGGAACGGAGAGCAGGCCGGCAGGGGCAAGACCCTGGGCGCCGGCTGGCTGGGTGAGGAGGACGCCGGCCATGACGTGACCACGCCATCCTACAAAAAGCCCCTGTATGGCATCTCGCACAAGATCATGGAGAAGAAGAACCCGCCCGCCGGGGACCTGCTAAGCCCCTACGAGCTCTTCGAGAAGCTCAGTGCCGGCAACAGCCCCTCCCCGCTACGGCTCCTGAACGAGCCCTCGAAGCGCGACAGCGGCGGGGCTGCAGCAGCCACCGACGGCGACCCCAACATCTACTTTCTGATGCAGAAGATGTTCTACATGCTCAACACGCTCACCTCCAACATGTCCCAGCTGCACAGCAAGATGGACCTGCTCTCCCTGGAGGTGAGCCGCATCAAGAAGCAGGTGAGCCCCACCGAGATGGTCGCCACGTTCCAGCCGCCCCCCGAGTACCAGCTCACGGCCGCTGAGCTCAAGCAGATCGTGGACCAGAGCCTGTCGGGCGGGGACCTGGCCTGTCGCCTGCTGGTGCAGCTCTTCCCCGAGCTCTTCAGCGACGTGGACTTCTCGCGCGGCTGCAGCGCCTGCGGCTTCGCGGCCAAGCGCAAGCTGGAGTCGCTGCACCTGCAGCTGATCCGCAACTACGTGGAGGTCTACTACCCCTCGGTGAAGGACACAGCCGTGTGGCAGGCCGAGTGCCTGCCCCAGCTCAACGACTTCTTCAGCCGCTTCTGGGCCCAGCGGGAGATGGAGGACAGCCAGCCGCCCGGCCAGGTGTCCAGCTTCTTCGAGGCCGAGCAGGTGGACGCGGGCCACTTCCTGGACAACAAAGACGCGGAGGAGGCGCTGTCCCTGGACCGGAGCAGCACCATCGCCTCGGACCACGTGGTGGACACGCAGGACCTGACCGAGTTCCTGGATGAGGCCTCGTCGCCCGGCGAGTTCGCCGTCTTCCTGCTCCACCGGCTCTTCCCTGAGCTCTTCGACCACCGCAAGCTCGGCGAGCAGTACAGCTGCTACGGGGACGGCGGCAAGCAGGAGCTGGACGCGCAGCGGCTGCAGATCATCCGCAACTACACGGAGATCTACTTCCCGGACATGCAGGAGGAGGAGGCCTGGCTGCAGCAGTGCGCCCAGCGCCTCAACGACGAGCTCGAGGGCCTGGGCCTGGACGCGGGCAGCGAGGGCGAGCCCCCGCGCGACGACTGCTACGACTCCTCCAGCCTGCCCGACGACATCTCCGTGGTCAAGGTGGAGGACAGCTTCGAGGGCGAGCGGCCCGGCCGGCGCTCCAAGAAGATCTGGCTGGTGCCCATCGACTTCGACAAGCTGGTGATCCCGCAGCCAGACTTCGAGGTGCCCGGCGCCGACTGCCTGCTGAGCAGGGAGCAGCTGCGCAGCATCTACGAGAGCAGCCTGTCCATCGGCAACTTCGCCTCCCGCCTGCTGGTGCACCTCTTCCCCGAGCTCTTCACCCCCGAGAACCTGCGCAAGCAGTACAACTGCAGCGGCTCGCTGGGAAAGAAGCAGCTGGACCCGGCCCGCATCCGGCTCATCCGCCACTACGTGCAGCTGCTCTACCCGCGGGCCAAGAACGACCGCGTGTGGACGCTGGAGTTCGTGGGCAAGCTGGACGAGCGCTGCCGGCGCCGGGACACGGAGCAGCGGCGCTCCTATCAGCAGCAGCTCATCCGCCACTACGTGCAGCTGCTCTACCCGCGGGCCAAGAACGACCGCGTTTGGACGCTGGAGTTCGTGGGCAAGCTGGACGAGCGCTGCCGGCGCCGGGACACGGAGCAGCGGCGCTCCTATCAGCAGCAGCGCAAGGTCCACGTGCCGGGCCCCGAGTGCCGGGACCTGGCCGGCTTCGCCGTCAACCCCGAGCACTTCCGCGAGGAGTTCGAGGGGCCCCCGCTGCCGCCCGAGCGGAGCAGCAAGGACTTCTGCAAGATCCCCCTGGACGAGCTGGTGGTCCCCTCGCCCGACTTCCCGGTGCCTTCTCCGTACCTGCTGTCCGACAAGGAGGTGAGGGAGATTGTGCAGCAGAGCCTGTCGGTGGGCAACTTCGCTGCGCGCCTCCTGGTCCGCCTCTTCCCCGAACTCTTCACCGCCGAGAACCTCCGGCTGCAGTACAACCACTCGGGGGCCTGCAACAAGAAGCAGCTGGACCCCACGCGGCTGCGGCTCATCCGCCATTACGTCGAGGCCGTCTACCCCGTGGAGAAGATGGAGGAGGTGTGGCACTACGAATGTATCCCCAGCATCGACGAGCGGTGCCGCCGCCCCAACCGGAAGAAATGTGACATCCTGAAGAAAGCCAAGAAGGTGGAGAAGTGACGGGCCTGTGGGGCACCTAGGACCAAAGGATGAGCGATGGGCACCCCGGGGCACGCGCTCGGGATCCACAGACACGCACCTTAAGGCCGTGGGGAGTAGCTGACATTTGCACACACCAAACTATTAGCGAAGTGAAGCAGCTTTTGACTCCCGCCCCTGAACTTGGGACTCCCGCCCTCTGCGTCCCGCGCCCCGCGGCTCAGCCAGCGGGAGGGGCGCGGAGCTGGGAGAGCAGAGGGGTCCGGGGGCCTCTCTCTGGCCGGGCCCTACCCCCTCACCGGCCTCCAGTCTAAACGCCAAGCCCATAACCCACTTGTTTTCTTCCCACCGTTTATAGCTTTCATTTTTATAATTTTTTTTTATTATAAAGAAATCCTTTAAAAGTTTTATTAGGCTCTCTTGGAGCCATTTTACTTAGAAAAAAATCTTTTAAATATTTGAGATGAAGGTAATTATGTAAGATGACTAAGGATGATAGGATTTTTCTTCTTTTTTTTTAAAAGATGGTTTCAGATTTATGACATTGTTGCAAGTGCCAGGCTCACGCAAGAATGGCTTATCTAGCCCCGCGTCTGTCCAGGCTGGCATAGAGGGTTTTACTGACCTTGGTGTGACATGATTCCGGAAGAGTCAAGACACCCTTTGGGTGGCAGTGGAGGGTCTGGGCCAGCACCTTGGTCGTTCTCTTCACTGTGGTGCCGGGGAAGGCGCCGTGGGACAGGCCTGCCCATCACTGCTCGTCGAATGCTGTGCTCACGCCCACAGACAAGAACACTGGATGATGACGATGATGATGATGCTATGAATGTAGGCAGACGTGGGAACACCTGTTCACAATGTCTGCACCGTGCCCTTCCAGTGCCCCCCTTGCCCTTGCTGGGAGTGGCTGCTGGCTGGCCGGGTAGACCCATGTCCTGGGAAACAGTACGTGTATGTATTTGACTTCTCCCTGGGGGCTTGCCAGGACATGGGAATCTCACTGTGTGTATCTGTACAACTCCCAGACCCCGGGTTCTGGGGCCGTATGGTGGCGTCACCACCTATCAGTGTTAGGAGCTCCAGTCAGTAGCACATCCCGTTTTCCTGGCCCATGCTTGGGTCTTCTGGCTTTGGAAGGACACAGGTCATGCCACAGGGGCTCCCATGATCTTTCAGGGTCCACTCAGAACCTTCCCCACTGGTCCTCCAGAAAGAAGCGCCCCTGTCCCCAGCACAACACACTGCTCTAGGCCAGCAGCAGGCTCTCAGGAAACACCAGCTGAAAACCCCAACAGGTGAAAGTCTAAAAATACTTGGACCTACCTAACATACAGAGGCTCACCTGCCTCCGAGGGAAAGGAAGCAGTCTAACCTAAACCGGACAGTTCACTGAATTGATGATACAGGGTAATCATAAAATCCTTGTGGAGTGTCACATGTTTTAAGACCCTAATGGCTTCAGGTTTTGCTACCTTGAACGTGCAGAAGCAATAGAAACACTGAACTTGCTTCACATGGTTGGGAAGGAGCTTAGTCCCTCTGGCTGTGTGACATGATTTTGCCTCTTGAATCAAATGAACTTTTTTAGAAATAAATATATCTATATATATGACACACAAATCTGAACCAAGTCCCTGCCCTAACTTTAATAAATTTGCTTTTAACTATCATTTACAGATGATTTCTGTTGAAACTACAAACCTAAGTTAATGAAGTTGAGACTTCCTGGCCTCGTGCGTGCGCGCGCGCGCGCGCACGCACACACACACACACACACACGCACGCACGCACGCACGCGCACACTCATTCTCAAGAGAGAACAGCAGTGAGACAAGGGGACCAACAGGACCAGTTCAGCTCTGTGCCTGGAGAGGGGGCCTGGGCCAGCAGGTGCCTCGTTGTCCCCTCTTGTGGGCCATTCTCTCCGCCTTAGTCTCTCCACCACTCGCTCGCATGTACACATACATGTACACACACACACCCCTGCACCTACCCAAAGATAGCAATGGCACTCCCCATCCGTGCTGCCGCAGAGTTTGTCCTGGCCCCGAGATGTGGACAGAGGATTCCAAGCCATGTGAAATGTGCCCTGCTTCCCCGGAGGGACTGTGACCCTGCAACTTCAGAAGCACAATCAGCTAATGCTCACCAGTCATACCCAGCCCAGGCCGAGAGGAGTCGGCAGTTCTAGGAGTTAAATCTATCTTCTTGTAGCCTGAGAATGTTACATTTTCATAAACCATAGTTTGGTGGTGTCCTATGTCCCCTTCCCCTGGGAGGGCTTCATCCTCCCAAACACAAGTCCCTTTTAGTGAGGAGAGGTGGACCCCTCTGGGAGCTGTTTCCTGTCCCTCAGGCTCCCCTTCAGGAAATGCCTTCAGGTGTGTATGTGCTGGCTGCGGGGTGGGGGCTAGGGGGGGCCCTCCGCTGCCTCTCCAGGTGTTTTTTTTACACGAAGCAATAGAAATAGATACCCCCCCTTTCTTTCTCTCCAGACTCTTTAATCTGTTCCACAAAATTCGTTGGCAAATGTCACCCTTCCCCATATGGGAACTGTGATTTTCGCCTTGTCTTTTTTGGGGTGTTTCTTTGGGTTTTTTTCCCTTTTTGTTGGCCTCGTATCCTGATCCTGAAGAATTAATTAGCTCAGACACATTCTGATGTTACGTGGATTAATAAGTAGTCGGTCACGGTAGGTGGTAGTGTCCATCATGTTCTGTTAGTAAGTTTTGCAAGAATGTACGGAGATAGTCATGAATGTACTCGGTGTAATCCGGCTTCGGCTCACGTTGGCTGTGTCTGCATGCCAGCAGGCAGGCGGGTTGACAGGGAGTAAAGCCGGGTCTAGTGTGTCGGGTGCAGGTACCCCTCCTGCTCCCTTCTTCACTGGCCCTAGACCTGCCTGTCCCTTTGCATGCAGTGGGGGTGGGGTGGGTGGCCGGGGGCACCACAGCAGAGCAGTCAGCACACCAACGGGATCTACTTGGTGGCCAGCAGGGCAGTTGCTCCAATTGTAAGCATCACTGGGCTGACCACCCCACTGCAATGGCCGCTGAGATGGCCTCCCCTCCCCCTGCAGGCGAGACTTGTACCTGATTGAGAGGGTCTGGACAGACGGTCCCAGTGGTTGGAGGTCGCTGGGCCCTCAGCCAGGCCAGCAGGGCAGGCAGAGAGGACAAGGACTGCTCCTTGGACGTCCTTGCCGCCTGTGGATTCAGCCTTAATGTTTTCTGACGTCCAGGAATAGCAGACCCTGCACAAAGTGGATATCAGAGTCAACACTGTGAGGAGACAAAACAGTGAGGATAGTTTTACCAAAGATAATGAAATATCATGTAATGTCTGCATTTGATCATTGATTTGAGTGCATCCTTAGAAAACTGAATGTAACAAGAACCCAGGACATTTTTGGAAATCGTATGATCTCTAGCAACTTTGTGAATTTTTATACAAGCACTGTTTTATGAGTTATATAAAATGTTCTAAAAATAGAAAACCTGGTCTTGGAACATCTTATTTTTTCTCAGGCCCCAGGTCTCCAGTGGCGCGTCATGGTCTCTACCTTTGTCTGTGGGCTCCTCGCCTCCGGCTGCCACATACAGTGTCGGGTACAGCTCATGGGCCAAAGCCCGCCCTGCAGCCTGGTCTAGCCTGCTTCCATACAGACACACCGTGGGGGGCGCCTCTGACCTTGCCCTGGCCAGTGCCAGACTCTACCTCTGCCCAGCTCCCAGAGCTGCATTTCGCTTTTAACTTGTTTTTGCTTTAGATCAAATGGGCTTTAGTTCCTCAGAATTAAGTACTAGCTGGTATATACGTCAGCAAATTCATCAGCATTTTAGTTCTCGGGAGGAACACCACACACCAAGTTAAGTGTGATTGGAGACTCAAAGGACTTTAATCTCCTCAAAAGCTGCGAGTTAAATTTAACAATCAACTCATGAGAAAGTTAAAGTATACATGCAATCACATTAATTTCTCCCCTTTTTCCTTTGGTTTGTTTTCATGTGAAACCCTTTAGATTTTTTACCATTGTGGAATCACAGAATACTTGCCCTTTTATGATGAACTAATTCAGCATCCTCCCAGTTTATCCATATTGTGATCCAGGTGAATCTCTAATTAGAAAAGCCTGGGGTGGTGGGGGTGGGGTGTGTGTGTGTGTGTGTGTCCCATGCTAAGGGTGTGGAGGGAAGTAAGTTACCACCTGAGTGTGTGTGTGTGTTGGCAATGGCCATGCTGGTGTGTGTGTGTGTTTGTGTAATGTGTCCCACACTAAGGGTGTGGAGAGAAGTAAGTTACCACCTTGAGTTCACCTGCCTGGCAATGGCCATGCTGGCATTTGAGCCGAAGCTGGCCTCTTCACCGCACCACACCACACCTCCGCAGGAGCAGACAGTGCCCAGGCCACTGAATGGGGGGTTGGGAGATCCCAAACCAAGTCTCCCATGGGGGTGCCCGGAGCTCCAGTTGGTTTGCTGCGGCATGTGGTGAGCTGGATTTGGAACTGCCCTGGGGAAACAGCTGTAGACGGACAGACGTGTTCTGGAAACAGTGACAGAGGACACTTTCCGAGATGGGGAAAGATTGTGCTGTGTGGGGAGACTGCTGTGGGCCCAGTTCTCTAGAAGCAGAGCCCGAGTCTCCTCTTGTCTGGTGCTCTCAGGAAGAGGCGTGCGGGGCAGGGATGGGGCTGCAGGAGTGGGGACCTTCCTGGAGTCTAGCCTCATTCCCACCCATGGAGAAACCCTGGGGCGTGAGCATTGTGAGGTGTGGAGGCAGCAGGCCCCGTGCCTGGGAGCAGAGGGCCAGGTCTGTCTCCTGCAGAGCCATTGACTGGGTCAGCCTTCAGATAGCAGCTGAGCCTTGGACTGTTGTGCCACCGGGAAGCATGAATAACCCAAAACACCAAAACAAGGCAGACTGTACTGTCATAAAGTCGATGGCAACTCAGTGATCCCGTAGAACTGCCCTGGGAGCTTCTGAGACTCTAACTTGTATGGGAACAGAAAGCCTCGGCTTACTCCCCATGAGCTGGCTGGTGGTTTCGAACTGCTGACCTTGTGGTTAACAGCCCAACATGTAACCTCTATGCCAGCTGGGATCCCTCAGAGCATGTTAGCCTAGCAGACTCAATGCTGTGTTGAGGTAGAGGCAGAGACCCGTCTGTCCCTGGAAAAGAGTGCCCACCTAGGCGGTCAAGGGAGCAGCCTTGGGCCAAGGGTAGCGCTCCAGAGAGGGGCTCGGCGTGGCAAGCAGTCCGCGTTGGATTCCTACCGTCCCACTCAACAGTGGGTCTCTAGAATTAGCAGGCTGGTTCCCACTGAGTCAACTGCATCGGAGCAGCCTCGTGTGTCGGAGTGGACCTGTGCTCCAGAGGGTTGACAGTGACCGACAAGTGGACCACCAGCCCTTTCTTCTGAGGTGTACACGCCAACTTTTTGGTGAGCCGCTGACTGGGTTAACAGCACCACCTGGGCCGAGAATCAGCTGAGCACCTGTTAAAACAGATTGCTAAGCCCCACCCCGGCTCTGTTGCTCCACTAAGTCTGGGCTGGGGCCCACGCACTGGCATTTCTACACAAGTTCCCAGGGGATGCCGATGCTGCCGCTTCGGGTGGGGCCCCACTTGGAGAACCACGACACTGGTTTCGTCACAATACGCTGGGCTGTGCTCTGCAAAGTGACCATTTCTTAACAGCCTCTTTGTTCTTCGACCAGTGGGAGAGGCAGGCTGATGCGAAGACGCTTCCCATCAGGGCTCGTGGGGACTGCTCGGTGTGATGGCGTCTGCAGGGGTAAGGCGGCTCACTGGCTTCCGTCTACAGGATGCGAATGCTTGTGTTCTTCCAAATGCGGCTTGTCTTCCAGATGGTGAGCGTGTGCACGACAGGTTGCGAGCGTTCCGGGCCAGAGGCCTTCTTCCGGGAGCTCCTGCCGGGCGACAGCTGGGTGTTCAGGAGTGACCCAGCACCCGTACCTGACGGGGGGGTTCAGGTGTCAGTCGTAGTTCTCATCTGCTGGAAAGCCTGTGATGGGTCAGGCATTGGGCATGTGCTAATTCGTTGAATCCTCAGAAACCCTCTGGCTTAGATACTTGTCGGCCCCATTGTTCAAATAGGAAAGCAGATGCCGCCAGGGCCGTGAAGCTGGCAGAGCCGGCCCCTCAGCCCAAAGCAAACTTTGGAAGATGCAGAGTCTTCTCCCCTGAGCCTGTTCCATGCGTTTATGATTTCCTTTTCTACCTTAAGCTCGCCATTAAGTGGCTGCCGGCTCATTCTCAGCCCGTCACTTTATTTCTTTCAAAAGTTTCCTCAGTTTGTGTGCAGTGTTCATATGAAGGCACAGGAAGCTGGGCGTCTAGCAAAACCTACATTTCCCTTTGGGGGTTGTTCAGACCCTGAGGAGGGCTGCAGCCTCAGGACCAGACCTGGGCAGGTGGGGTGGCGTGGCGCTCATTCAGGTCAGGCATATTCTCTGTCCCTTCACACCTTGCTTACAGGGAGCCCCCCCAAATCCTTGGTCCGTGAGGCCGAGGGGGCAGGAGGAGTTCACTGACGGGCATATGCTGGGGCTTGTCCTCTCTGCTGGGCATTTCCTGCCCAGAATTCAGTTGGTCATCAGTCAGTCACTTCAGAAAGCAAAAATAGATAGACTTCCCAGAATGAAG